AATTTCAAAACCTCTTACACACTTACTTCAGCTCAGAGATCATGACTTGCTGAAATCACAGTTTCCTGTCACAGTCAAACCGAGAAACTATGATTTTAATCTTGGTTTACTAATCAGCATATGATAATTTCCTATGCTAGTTAGTAGTCAGTAATCTAACCTCCTCATTTCAATGTAACAGAAAACTATGGTTTAAATAAGCCATAATCTCTAAAGTAAAGTCAGTATATGAAGGAAGATTTCTTGCCATGTTGCGCTTATGCAATTTTATTGGACTAAATTATATTGGTAAAAAATATGTTTGAAAAAATGTATACAGGCAACATGATAAATTAGTCACTTCTCAGCAATACAAACACAAAGGTTAGTTTTACGCAAAATACTTCAGTAATTTCAGGTACCAAACCTATTGATACCCCAAATATTTTTGGAAACCAGATGCTGCGTTGAGTTACTCAACAAATGTTAGCGTATTGGAAAATAAAGTGAATGGCGGGAAAAAGCTGGCAAGTGTTTATTTTGTACTGGGAATGGAAGTACTGAAGTAAAAAAGTACAAAATTTACTTCCTTGCATTTATGTATATAGCATAACAGAGGACAAGATGGTTGAATAGTGTTCTCAAAGCTACCAGCATGAGTTTGACCAAACTGCGGGAGGCAGTGGAAGACAGAAGTGCCTGGCGTGCTCTGGTCCATGGGGTCACAAAGAGTCGGATACGACTAAACAACAACAACAATATAGCATACTGAGTGTTAAAAGTGTTTCAAATATGCTGCAAATAATCTTTACAATAGCCTTGCGAGCAGTGGTTTCCCCCCCTAGAAAAATAGGTGCCGGTACTAGACATTAAGTTGTTACAGTAAGTGCCACACTTTTTAGCAACAACAAAAAAGAGGTGCTGGTATTGCGTACCCTTGAGTACCCCCTGAAAAATAAGTGCTGCTTGTGAGATAGGACAGTATTATCCCAGTGAGGAATAATTGCTAGCAGCAAGTTTATGGACAGAAACCAGAAAAGCTCACAGTCCTTGCCGCTGCAATAGCTTCAAATTTTATCCATTACAATTTCGTCTTTGATTTGAAAAAGCCTAGAATCCCTTATCTGTAGTGACAAGAGTTTATTTTCTAGAGATGACAGGAAAATTGCACTTAATACAACTACCGAGTAATAAAAAAATGGGGGGGGGGATATTTCCAAATACTTTCTTCTCTGCATCAATGAATATTGCTATTAGAAAAGTTTGACAAAACAATCCATTGTTTCCTGCCTAATCTGTCATCTTAAAAAACCCATTCATCCCCCACCCCTCCAGGAATATCAATATATTTTGCATGTGCATCAGCAATAAGACATAGAAAATACAGTATGGTAATAAGGACAACTTCCTCAGGGGATTTTGCTTCCTATGCTATTTTACATGCAAGCTTATGAGCAGTACATCCTGCAAAGAATAAATTAAATTGGAGGGCCTCCATTTCTTGAAGATTCCAAAAACTGAAGCTTAAACATTTGAAGCTTAGTTCCTATTATAAAGAAAATGACATATTTGAGCACCATAGCTCTTTCAGACAGCTTTTGTTAGATGTTGCCTCGTGCACTTGCTATTCTGAATGTTAAAAAGCCTAAAATGTATAGAAGCCATGTTGTCACACTAGACAGGGTTATACTGAAAATTCAGAGTAAAAACATATTCTAAGCTAACTGCGCCTCAGAGGCAGAAAGGTGGAGACTGAAGAGAAGCTGCACTAATCCTCATGTCCAAAGGGAATTTAGCCTGCAGTAAAAAGCCAGAGACTGCATTAGAGGGTACAATGAAACATCCCAAGGGCACCCAACTGAGCAAAAGAAACCAACAGATACAGCACAAAGGAAGAGAGGCAGGTGAGCATTTTGCCAAAGCCTGATGGAAAACTCAGACACAAAGCTAACAGCAACTGATCCCTCCTTTAAAATAAAATCATATTACACTGATTTTTTTATATTATAACCCACTTCATCTTCCTTTAATGTTCAGATATTTTTCTGTGTTCTTATTTAATATTCAGAGGCTTCGTCTGAGGTTGCAAGTACTATTACTCTTATGCCAGTGACCTAGATTTCTCTTTTAACCTTTCCATTCTAAATCACTTCTGTTTTTTACTCTGCCTTAGTAAGAAGGCAAGCATGGACACTGTTAAGCAGCAGTGGACAGAAGGCAGAACAGAATTTACTGGTAGATCTTTGGCAAGAATTTCTGACTTCTAATTGTTTAACAACAGCAACAACAAATTGACTCTAAATTATACTGCTGAAATAAAAAAAGCATTGGATGACTAGGATTCTTCTGTGTCAGGACTGAGAATTCTGTTCAGTTCTAGTACTCAAGAGCAAATTCCTGGGATCAGATTTCTTTAAATCTATTTTTTTTACACCATACTCCAGTAGGTGGGTCTCTGGGTTCTAATAAAAACACAATAGCTTCCTCAAGCCCGAATTCTGCCCCCACTTGCTATAAATTAATATTTCACAATTACTTCGGGTAATCCTTTATTTTACAATAGGACATGCATTTTTAAATAGTACATAATTTTAACATTATCAAGGATGGATCAATTTTATTTTCATGATCACAAAAATATAGGTAAACATCTGGAACATTATATAAAAATGTTATTCAGTCTTGGACTTTTAAAAAATAAAAACAATAGATTTTGGCTCCTAAGCATTTCTGAATGAGCTGTGTTATTACCACACAATTCTCAGCTTCCTAAAATATAAAGTCATCTCAGAACAGTTTCCTGTTAAGCAATATGCTTGCTATAACTCAGTTGTGCTGCCTCATAGCACATTATAGCTCTGCCTAATGGATCTGTTTTAACTTCACTGTTGATGAATGCTGAATTTATTATTCCAGATGCATTTAAGTCCTATGACTAATGTCTTCCACCATGATGCAACCTAGCTTTCAAAATTCTTAGAAAAAGAACTGTGAGATATTTAAAATCAAAAGTAAAATCAAAATATGTTCATGTCATTTTAAAATAAATGGTTCTTTAGGAAAGATGAGAATACAATTCTGACATGTACGCAATAAGTAGATGGTTCAGCTGTTTTCTATACAACTTAGCTCAGAAATGCATACTTATTCTATACACAGCACAATCCTATTCATGTCCACTCATAAGTATGAACCACTTAGTTCAACAGGGTTTACTACCAGTTATGTGAGTACAGTATTATAGGATTGTATCATTCATTTGTTTATATTTCATTCTACTGTCATACTGTTATGCTTGAATTGTAAGCTCTACAAGATATTTTCTCCCATCAAGATACAAAAATGAAAACTACTTCCTAGATTTTTAAAAGTTTCCCAAGATCCTATACAAGTCATTTGGCAGATTTCCTGTTATTAATGAATATGGGCTGGTCCTGTTTGTTCAAAGGGCCTCTTACGCTTCAGTAGTTTACATGTAATTTTAGGTAGGGAAAATGAGGGCTAATTAGGCTATAATTCAGTGGGGCTTACTTCTGAGTAGTAATGGTTAGGACTGTGGGTTTACTAATTGCAACCTGGTTTCAGTCATCCTGCTTCCATGTGTAAGTATTGCTTCAAAACAGTTTCAGAGTCCAAAATATTGTAATCAATTGAAAAGAAAGCCAGGAGACAGCAAGCTGATAAGCCTGCCTTAACAGACTCAAAAGCATGCCCCACCCCCTCTCCTTTCCTTATTTCAATCAAAAACAAAAACCCAGAAGGATTGAGCCACCCTGCATCTAAAAATGCAACTGAGGTAACACATTTCCTCATCCCTAGATGCTACTGTCTAGCTCCCCGAAACTGCGAGACGAATGTGAAAAGGAAAGAGGGAGGGAGAAAGGTAGGAAAGGGGGTTGTCGCCTCTGTAAAGGAAGCACATCCCCTACATGCAGGCAGATCCCTTCCTCTCCTGCATCCTTTCCCCAACTGCAGGTGGGGGAGAAAGGGAAGAGAGAGCGAGAGATTCGTGTTGGCTACTTGGCTCTTTGCAAATGATCCACGCCTGAACATCCTCGGAATCCCAATGGGACTGGCTGTTGCCCCAAGGGACCAACCCGGGACTAACAGGAGCCTGGCTCTGCCTTTTGTTCTGGATGAGTAATCAGCGATGGAAAAATGGGGTGGGGGGGGGCCGCAAGAGAGAAAGAGCCTCCAAGGAAGGAAGACACACATACGCACACTTCCTTCACACCAAGGGCTTAATAAATAAACAAATCTGGCTGCTACCAACCTCCTATTACTCCTTCCTCCGCTGGTGCATGTCCCTTTCCTCCATCTTCTAGATCTGTATACAGTTTCAATTCTATCAATGCTCCAATTTGTTGTTGATGATGATTGGGGAGAGGGGCATGTTTTTTGCTGTTCTTCTATTTTACCTGTAAGCCGCCTTGAGCCCCGTCAGGGGAAAATGAATATATAATAATGACAATAATAACCATATTTTGGAAGTACAGTGGTACCTCGGATTAAGTACTTAATTCGTTCTGGAGGTCTGTTCTTAACCTGAAGCTGTTCTTAACCTCAAGCACCACTTTAGCTAATGGGGCCTCCTGCTGCTGCCGTGCCACAGGAGCACAATTTCTGTTCTCATCCTGAAGCAAAGTTCTTAACCCGAGGTACTATTTCTGGGTTAGCGGAGTCTGTAACCTGAAGCGTCTGTAACCCGAGGTACCACTGTACTCCATTCAGCCCACCCACCCAGCGTTACACCCCCTCCTGTAAGCCGCCCATAGTGAGGCTGGGGAAACCCAGCCACGATGGGGTATAAATAATAAAATTATTATTATTAATTATTATTGTTGTTGTTGTCATCCTCATTAGCTGCCACAACCCACCCACGCAGGATCTGGCCCTCCCTCCGCAGAGGCTGCCCATCTGCCTTAAGTGCTCGGGATCAGCATCACCTCACGCCTCCCCTGCCCCCCCCATTAGATCTAGCATCGCTCCCCACTATACACGGGACACGCATACACACACACCTTCCCATAAGTGGCGCCCTTTCCCGGCATCTCTGAGGGGCGGCGGGAGGGGGCGTAGGGAGGGGCGGCAGGCCGCTGGCTCCGGGGAGGGGGGGCTCGGAGGAGGCAGGCGGAGAGGGAACCAGGATGCCAGAAAAACGGCCACTCACCCCAGCTATGACCTCTCCGCCCAGGCCGGAGTAGCCGGCTGTCAGTCCCGGGGAGGAGGCTGGTCTCTGCACAGCCGCCGACGCCACCGCGGCTGTTGCAGTTACAGCCGCCGCTGAAAGAGACAGAGAGACAGAGGTAAGTCCTTCCCGGCTTCCCAAGGCTGACTGAGCGGCCTCAGCTCCGCCCCTCTCCTCACCGAAAATGGCGGCCCTCCCTCCCGGCCCACAATCCTCCGCGCGGCGGCAGCAATGATGTCACTGCTGTCAGAGGGAAGGGAGGGAGAGAGGCGCGCGCGACGGCTGCCTTTCGTACAAGGCGCATGCGCTAAGCTGGGTTGGAGTGGAGAGGGGGCTGGTTGCCCCTCCGGCCGCGCGCTGTTCGACCCGTTGTTTTGGCAGGACGGCGCGGCCCTCCGCCTTCGCCTCATGGGCGCCATGGAACGTTCTAGCGCCCAGCTTTATTGACGGTTGGATTAGGTGGACTGCGGAGCCCGCCTGTTTAGGCAGCTGGAAAGACTGGAAAGTGGGGGGAAATACACTATAATGAAAAAAGCAGACACACATATATTCTTTTTTTTTTTTTAAAAAAGTGTTATAGAAAATTATACATCACTGTCAAACAAAACAGACATTAAGCCAATGTATAGGGCCAGCCCAAGCATGAGGCAAGGCAACTGCCTTGGGCGGCAAGATTCACAGGGGCATCAGATCCCAATGTAGAACTTTATTCTGCCATTTTCCTGATCTTCATTCACCCCTTTTTCCCTGTTGCAGAGGGAGGCACCGTTTTGTGGTTCACCTCAAGTGCCCCAGTGTCTTGGGCCAGCCATGCAAATGTATTAAATAACACGTTTTAAGGGTTATACAAAATTCAACAAAATACAGTGCCTATCAAACAGATCTGGTGATACAATACGCAGTCCATATACAATTATAAATCGCTGCCAGACAAAAAGGGTATAAAATAAAACCAAAATAAATAAGTCAATAAGTCAATAACTGGAACTATTTATAGCATAGATATAACATAAGGGTTAAACAGGATGGGGTTACAAAACATGGACCTTATTATTAAAATTATTCATATGCACTGAGTCACTATCAGCCATATTCATTTGTAGGCAAATCAGACCAAACAGGTATGAAATTGTCACTTTATCTTTGTCCCCTAATGACTCTCAGCTTATTAGTTCATTTTTCCAGCAGGGCAATATCCCACACTTTAGTGTACCACTTAGTAAGACTGGCCCCCATCAAAACAAACATTCAAATCAGTCAGCCAATAACTCTTTAAATAAAATCAATCAACGCTGGAAGGAGGGAACCAAAATAGACCCAGGAGAGCAGGTTCAAACTCAAATATTATTTCAAATATTTTTATGCTTTCTTTCCTGGCAAAAAAGAGGTAGGGGGGCTCACATAAGAATAATGTAAAACATCAAAAGTACCAGTTCAAAATTTAAAACATTAAAAATGATTTTAAAAGACCAGTTATTGCCTGGCTAGGAGGAAGCTCTCTTGAATTCAAAGGAACTTGTGAGTGGATTGCCCTAGAATTTTTCTGCATTCAAAGCCAGGAGGGAAGCTCTGCAATGCACTTAGAATTTTAATTTAGAAACAAATATACCTCCAGTCTAAGAAGTTTGGGGCACACTTCCCAATGTTGCAGATGACCTGTTTAACTGAGCATTCGTCCCGATCTGTTTGCAGGGAGATTAGACAAAGCTGGCTATTCAATGAGCATTCTGATTTGTTTGCAGGGAGGTTAGATGGTGTCCTTTCAAATCCAGAACAGAACCATGTTCTGGACCAGCTCCATTTATAAGCCAACTTCCATCTTTGATTGTTCCTATCTACCCTACATGCTTTTTGGGGTGACAAGTATATGGGAAAGTGGGCTTGCCCATGCCCTGCTATTAAATTATTGCTGGGATGACATTATGTATAATTTAATGTTGATTCATTGTATGTGTTCATTATGTATTATGAACTATATGTATTATTTATTACTATGCATTGCTTATCATTATGCATTGTATTTTTTACAGTATGTTTAATTTTTTTGTATTGCATGGATATTAAGTTATTCATCAAGGGGTTTGGGCTGGGTGTTCATCAGTATGCGGATGATACCCAGCTCTACCTCTCTTTCAAATCAGAACCAGTGAGGGTGGTGAAGGTCCTGTTTGAGTGTCTGGAGGCGATTGGAGGATGGATGGCGGCTAACAGATTGAGATTGAATCCTGACAAGACAGAAGTACTGTTTCTGGGGGACAGGAGGCGGGCAGGTGTGGAGGATTCCCTGGTCCTGAATGGGGTAACTGTGCCCCTGAAGGACCAGGTGTGCAGCCTGGGAGTCATTTTGGACTCACAGCTGTCCATGGAGGCACAGGTCAAATCCATGTCCAGGGCAGCTGTTTACCAGCTCCATCTGGTACACAGGCTGAGACCCTATTTGCCTGTGGACTGCCTCGCCAGAGTGGTGCATGCTCTGGTTATCTCCCGCTTGGACTACTGCAATGCGCTCTACGTGGGGCTACCTTTGAAGGTGACCCGGAAACTACAACTAATCCAGAACGCGGCAGCCAGACTGGTGACTGGGAGCGGCTGCCGAGACCATATAACACCGGTCTTGAAAGACCTACATTGGCTCCCAATACGTTTCCAAGCACAATTCAAAGTGTTGATGCTGACCTTTAAAGCCGTAAACGGCCTAAGTCCAGTATATCTAAAGGAGCGTCTCCATCCCCATCGTTCTGCCCAGACACTGAGGTCCAGCACTGAGGGCCTTCTGGTGGTTCCCTCACTGCGAGAAGCCAAGTTACAGGGAACCAGGCAAGAGGCCTTCTCGGTAGTGGCCGTTCCCAGAGGGCCGTTCCCTGTGGAACGCCCTCCCACCAGATGTCGAAGAAAACAACAACTACCAGACTTTTAGCAGACATCTGAAGGCAGCCCTGTTTAGGGAAGCTTTTAATGTTTGATGTATTACAGTATTTTAATATTTTTTTGGAAGCCGCCCAAAGTGGCTGGGGAAGCCCAGCCAGATGGGCGGGGTATGTATGTATGTATGTATGTATGTATGTATGTATGTATAAATAAATAAATAAATAAATAAATAAATAAATCATTGACATATATGGTTTATTGTGTTCTTTGCTGTAAACCTGTGGTCTTTTAGCAAAGGGCAGTATATACTGGTAATAAATAAATGAAAGTCATGTGTTGTCCTACACTTTCCAATGCATTTTCTCATCTCTTTCCTTATTGGAGGTGAGGTTTGTTGCACATTACTGCTATTGTTTGTTTCTCCAAGTGGAGTAAGATAGGTCATGGGCGTGCACAGGATTTATGGTATGTTGGGGGGTCCAGAACCTAACTATTTTTATTGTTTTACTTGATCTGGGGGGACAGCTGCCCCCCACCGGCTACGCCCATGAGCTAGGTCACAGTTGCTGAGGCAGGTATACCGAAACATAGCATATACAGTATATTTGTTTACTGTCTCCACACCTTTCTTGCAGAATTATGTATAGAGGAACTGCTATCAATCGTACCTTTCAAGGACTGACAGCACCTCCCTAGCCTTGTAGATATAGGAGCAGGTTGAGAAATACTTGTTGCACTAGCAACGCCTGGTTTCCAGTTGTAGATTTAAATATCGTCAGACTACACCCTCTTCTAGAGTGACCTGATGATGGCTGAAAATAGGTCTTGATATAGGCAAAACTCCAGGACTTGCAAGGTAATAAATACTATTTCTTAGGCTGCTTACTCCTGTTTACCTTGCATCCAATGCGCTCCCGGCCACTGGTTTCTGAATCCATGTACGCAATGTTACCCACAACCCTCGTCTAACACAACTGATGTGCCGAGTGACATGCAAATGTGATTTGAAACATGGAGGTGGAAACCAGCCTCACTGCATTTTAAGCAGGTAATGTGTACAAACCAGCTGCAAACTCTTTTCCAGGAGCCCTGTCCTGTTTCCTGCCCAACACATCCAGACAGAGGCTCTTACTTGTCAGTAAGAAAGAGATCTTTATTCAGGCAAGTTAACAGTACAGGATCAGCAGCACACACAGCGCTCAGGAGTCATGATTCAGGAGTTCAAGAGGGCAAGAAGTTCGGAACTTGACAGAAGCAACAAAGATGTCTCAACAAGTTTCCCTGCCCCTCCTCTACCTTTTAAAGACAAGGTGTGCTACACTCACTTGTGAGACTCTCTTACTTTATGGGAAGTTCAAGATCGCAATCACTCCCTCTGTCAGGATGGGTGGGTCTGCTCCCATCTCCGAAGGTGGCACTTAGTTCTAGGGAAGAAGGCTGCATCCATCCTGTTCAGGCTCCAGTTCAGTCACTGCCATCTCCAGCCTATCCCCTTGGCTGACCAAAACCTTCCCCAGCCTTCACTGAGGTTCTCTGCTTTGCAGGGAGGTTGGAGGGGGAGCTGGGACCCCTGTTCCCCCTCTGAAAGCAACTGAAGACCTCACCGCTCCTTCAATCCAGCTTCCCATCAACAATTCCCCTCTTTTGTTTCTTCCTCCTACATCAGAGCCCGTAAACCCAAGCCCATTCATCCAGGTCTTGATAAGCCATGGTTTGGCATAGCATTCAGTGCAAAGCAGGCTGCTGCATTAGCTGTTATATTATATTAGCTGCCAATCTAGCAGTTCGAAAGCACGCCAGTGTAAGTAAATAAATAGGTACCACTGTGGCGGGAAGGTAAACAGGGTTTCTGTGCGCTCTGGTTTCTGTCTCAGTTTTCCATTGTGCCAGAAACAGTTTAGTCATGCTGGCCACATGACCCAGAAAGCTGTCTGTGGAAAAACACTGGCTCCCTCGGCCTGAAAGCAAGATGAGCGCCGCAACCCCATAGTCACCATCTACTGGACTTAACCCTCCAGGGGTC